TGATGATCTCAAACATGCCCCGTCACCCTCTGACTGAAGAATGCTTTTGAAAAGAAAGAGAGGAGAATGAGTTGGCAGGCTGAGAGGAGAACTAGAAAATATTTCATGATTTGGGATTTTATTCAAAGCCTTATGGGAATACCTGATTTGTCTTCGGATGTCAGGGTAATTTCAAGGCAAGCCCTGGGTTTAGAGGCTGGCATCTTGTTTTTTTCAACCCCTCCACCCTCAGCGCCCTCACCTGCTTGCACAACTACAGGCTCAGTCTTCCTCAGTCTTCTCTCCCTCTTTTTGTTTGTCTGTCTGTCTCTTTTCATATGTCGGCAACCTGTCACTATCTGTTTTACTTGGCGGGTGCAGTTGCAAATCTTACGTGTTGATCTGAAGTTGTCACTTGAACTGATTGTTCCAGTTTCACATCCCTCTCAACATCATCCAGTCATCATATTGTTGGTGGGTATCAAAGGAAAATCCATTTCTTCTATAACTTCCTGAGGAAATAATCAAATGATATAAAATTTCTGATTTTTGTGTCGGACCCTCAGCACTGATGAGAAGTGGATTAACTTTAAACCTGCCAATGATATTAAAACAGGAAAACATATATGATAAAACAGGTTGCTGTAGCTATTTGTTAATTGTATTCTCAATATTCTCAGCTATACTTAGCAACAGGACCTATATAAAAATGAAAATAATTCTGGAAGAAGTTGATTAGACAGATAAAGATTAAAGAAAATTCACCAGTTTTCTTATGTGCATCATATTAAAGGAACATACAATCGCAGTAGGTTGTGCTTCAGCTTAGCTTAGCTCAGCTAATAAAAGAAGGGAAATTGCTATGTAACCTTAAATTCTAACCTTTAAAAGCTCCAATTTTTTATTATTATTTCAGTGTCTGTACTCACAATTAATAAGCTTTTCTGAAACAGCAAAGCTCCATCTAATCCAACAGTATAGTGATATTCAGCATTGTTTTGCATGTCAGAGAGAGAAGGCCGAGTCATATGAGAACAAAGACATTTCTCCCTGTAGGGTTACATTTCTTCTTTGTACGTTTCATAAAGGCTGCTGCTATTGAAATATTCTGCCCACTTGCTCACATTTACCATGCATTACAGTGTGACAGATCATGATGAAGAGCCTTTGAAAGGTTGTTGTTTCTGATGGCATATACAGACCACCCTTTGTTGTGTTATTATATTGTTCATGTATCAATTCTGAGTCATTTGATGCTAGGAAATATTGTTTTTCATAGTTGCATTATTATTTGTACTTGAGATTAACTTACACAGCTTAGCATATAATATATATGAACTCTCCCCTGACGTGATGACTGCTTCTCTGAAGAAGATGGAAAACTGAACAAAAAAGCCAATTTGAGAAACGGCTTAAGACACTCATTGAAACCCAGAGCTGGTCCTCAGTGCAGCAACAGTATTTTTCTATCAGGAAGCAGATAGGGAGAGAGAGAGACTATTCACTGCATATTTTGCATTCAACAGTCCTTAAGAACTCATATTGGAATATTGTATATCTCTCCCTCTTTCGCTCCCAGGGCAAATTAGAAATTTGCTTCTTCACTATGTTGTTGGAATACCACAATTGCATTCCGTGTGTGTTACTTTTGAAATTACCCACAGTAGAGTTGAAATTTGAACAGAAAGAACTGAATTTACTGGCAGTTTTGCAGTCCTGACATAGTCAAAACAAACCAACAAACTGCATTGGACGATAGCCAACCAACAATTCTACAACGGCCCGACTGTGGTTTCCACAGCGACAGCGCCTTAATTGATTCCTTCCCTAATTAACATGCTTTAAGGACAGCTGGGCCAAGCAGCATTGTGTTAAACGTCCCCTGAACGGCATGGTTATTAGCTTAATACCCAAACGGTTATCTGGATGGTGTTGGTACACAACACTCTGCTGTTCAGTGGAGCATTTCCTCATAAGCTCGTGGAATGTGCATTGAATTTATTCAGTTGCTTTACATAGAAAAATGTTAATGGGTTTATCACGGTTGCTGTCCAGAATCAAGTGAGATGTTTTCTCTCTCTAGCTTTCTATCTTCCATTATCTTACCCTTGCAGGTTTCTGCTAAACTATTTGGATAGATGCAGTATTGATGCAGGATAGATACTTAAATTATAGCTTACTTTATTATGCACTAATAATTTTACTTTTTCCTGTAATTCACAGCAACAGAATAGTTTCCTAAACGTGTACTGAAAACGACCAGTATCACACAGTACATGATATATGAGTCTAAACAAAGTTTCTCCTTCTTCTAACACAGAATATCACATTGCAGTCTCAAAACAGGCGAAACAAGTACAGGACACACAAAGAGCCTGTCAACAGGTTGTATGTAATGTGAGCCAATACATAACCATAAAATGCTGTGACAAGTGTTGTTCTATTGTTCATAGTTTTTTTTTAAAAGAAATCCTCTTGTACTGTCTGTGTCTCTGGTACTGTCTCTCTCCATCTGTGAAAACTGAGCCATCCAGCTATTGTCAGTGGCTTTTGCAATGAGCATAAGTGATATGTTTTACCTGCTTTCACTAAAGGGCCCACTCGAGTTTCATGAAGCTTGGCCTTGTGTTCTCATTTCACTGTACAGTAGCATTTGTTTCACTCACTCAGGCCTGTGTGAGAGAGGGTGCATTTACATGAAGTAAAAATAGGATACCTGAAAGATGCAGTGATTTACATAACAAAAGTACCTGCTAGTATCAGGAACATTCTCATCCTTTTCCACTCCCCCCTTGTGATTACTAGTACTAGTTACTACTTTGGTAAGAAAGACCGAATACCAATATGTTCATAACTACTTTTCTGATGACTTTGACACCAATTAAGCTGCTGTGGAATTAGTGCTAACAATAATATTTACACAAAAACATCAGCTAGGTTTTGTGTAGGTTTCCCATTACTTGCCTCTTCATTCCTACTTGGAGGGTTGAGACCTTGACTGTCTGGGCGTCTACTCTTCTATATAATTTCTAAGTTAGAAATGTCTAATAGACTGAGATATAGACTGAATGCATTGCCATGAACTTTTGTATACATATTCTTGTGAAATATTTTGAGAAGATGAATCCTCATGGCTTTGGTGATCCTCTGACTCTTCCTTTAGTAAAACCAAGAGTTTGATATTTCTGGTTTTGTGTGAAATGTCTTGACAACTTTTGGATGGATTGCCATGACATTTGGCACATACATTTATGGTCCTCAGATGATGTATCCCCATGATTTTGGTGCTCCTCTGGCTTTTAATTTAGTGCTGTGTCCAATACTAATGACATTTCCATCAGCCTTAGCTGAACTTTGTGTTTATAGTGCTAATTAGGAAATGTGCTCACATTGTTGCTAAACATTATATCTGCTAAACATCAGCACTTTAACATTGCTACTGCAAGCACGCGGTTGTTGTTTCAGGATTGTACCTTACATTTAGCTTTGCATTGTAAGCAGTGTATATAATCTGTCTGCTTTGATTTCTTTTGGAGTGTTAAAGGCTTAGGAGACAATTGGTTAAAGGTCACCTTTGCTGTCAGGTGTGTTGAGTGACAGAGTCAGAGTCTGGTGTCAATGGCAAGGATATTAGTCATCCCTCAGCACCCCAAGCCCCCCCCCAAACATGGCTTTAGTGGTTGTTCTCTTCATATGAAGGTCAGCTGTGTACCAGGATTGATCTTGTCAGCTTTCTCATGAATGTTTAATAGTGTGTGTGTGTGTGTGTGTGTGTGTGCCCGAGTATGCATACACAACCTAAAGGATGGTCAAAATAAGCAAACTGTGTGTATGACTATAGCTCCACATGTTCTACAAATCTGGTATTCAGGGGACTTTCTTAGCCTCGTACTCCGAAGGATTATTTGTTGTTGTGTCAGGAGAGCTTCTTGTCAGACATGGTGTGATGGAACAAAGACCACCTTGATGATGGTGGACAGCAGGAAGAGCCAGCAGGAGGTCCAATTAGTTGGCATCATGCTGAGAGGGAGGAACATCATAAAGAGTAGTATTTCACGCTACGGGCTGAGAAGGTTTTCATAGAGAACTGTAGTTATAGTGGGGTGTGATATGGGCTCTATAGGTGTAGATTACAGTTAGATGCAAGAGTGTAGTGAAAATATAGATTATCTACTTTATCGATCAATGAAGCAATCTTCAATCAGTTGTGACAGAAAGATTCATAATCTAACGAATTAATATGTGCTATATGAAAAGCTTACAGTGTATGAATGATGCCGTACTGTGGGGAAATAAACAGATGTCATTAGATATTTGCAAATGTTTGGTGTTCTAATTGCCATACGAATTAATCATGCACCTACAAATTGACTAATGTTACAGTATTGGGTAATATATTTGGTTTCCTGTAAACATCAGCAATGGAGAAGTAAATTGAGCTTCATCCAAAAAATGTAAACTTTGCTGTCTGAAGGAAATTGTATGAAGTTATAAAACTACCTTTTGTTTCGGGGTTACTTTCTCAACCCTATGATCAATGATCCTCTTAAAATGTGGTTGTAATGAAATGAAACACGTCATCTTACCACCCAGGGCCCTCACTTTACACCACCCACAATGCTCTTCTGTTTCCACAGGATGCTATGTATCATCTATTTAGCCTTTGATGACATTTACAAGAATTTATATTGTTCTAGAGCTAGAAAAGGAACATAGAACCACAGTATTCCACTGGGAAACATTATACCACTTACTGATTGCAAGATCTATAACTTGCTATGCAAATGTATTTTAGAGTGTTTCATGTAAGTATCTGAATTACCTATGTGTTTTACAAGAGACTTATATAGTAGAGGCTTAGCTTATATGTGACAGGTTTGCTTTCCAGTCCATTACTGAGTTTGTCATTTCCTATAAGGTTTCGTCTACAGGGTAAGGGTGGGTAAGGATGATATAGTAAAATTACTATTATACATAAACCAGTGTGTGCTAAACCTTATATTACTTTGTTTGTGGTTCAGGAGACCCAGGAGAGGTTCCCAAAACTGGGCCAGATGGAGGCCTGGGATGAGCTGGGCAGTGGAGAAAGAGAGGAAGGCAGCACCACAGACTGTGATGATGAAGATGGATGTCAAGCGTCAGGAGACGGGCCAGGCCATAACTGTAAGTAATACATCCCCACCTGTACACACACACAGATCCCCTTCCCTCTATTCCTTTTCCCTTTGCCAATTGCAATATTGTTGCCAAAAGTAATGAGCTCTAATTTTGTGGAAGTTTGCTTCACTTTTTACATATAGGAACCTTACTTCTTTTTATCACCTCCTATTCATCAATCTTGTGATGATTTACAATATCACTGTTATATTTTTAATTGTGCCTTTGATCCACTGACTTTGTGCAGTTTATAACCAAGGACAGATCAGCTGCTGACAAGGCAGTGTCCTTCCTTTCTTTTCTCTAGCTCAATGAGTCTTGAATTGTTTTCTAAGAATTGCCACAAAGTCACTCTTTCATTCACCTCCTACATGGCAAGAGAAATTCACTTTCAAACACACTTCCTTACCTACTGTGTCTGAGGCTAGAGCAAAGGTGGAAGCATATGAGGTTCTTCAGATCATTTTAATCCAGTGGGCACACACACAGACACACACAACCTACACACACACACCACACACCATACATATATATACACACACAAGGCAGTGAGAAGGTGTTAGGGCTTATGTTGGATGAGAATCATTTGATCTCCTGCAGAAGCTTCTCGTTAATCAACCCTAATTATCACATTGGTTTTTTTCCACCTACACAGTTAAACAAAGAAGTCTAGTGTGAAGCATAGTCTTACTGGCATTGAGGGAGTAGAGAGGAATATGGAGGAGCAAATATGCACTCATCCATACACATAATAGCAGCAGGGGCCAAGTGAAGTTGATAAGATCATCACTGGAGTAAGTATAGTCATTCTGGGCTTCCCCAAATCTTCTGCAAGACTGCAGAAATGCCAGATGCTGAATACGTAGTCTTTCCATATGTAACACTTGCCATGTTTCCAATACAAAGGCGTATTTTGCCAACCACATATATTAGCAAGTGCCTTATAATATGCAACCAACTAAATACAACAGACATTTGGGGGTCCTGGTGACCTAGAGTGTAAGATTCTGATCGTGTAATCACAATGACCACATTTCATATTTACCGGAGGACCTTTGTTCCATGTAATGTCATCCCTCCACTGTTTCCCTTTATTTATTCTCACCTGTCCATTCTCTGCCAAAAATGTCACCAAAATGTCCTTTCAAAGGATACAGTTATATCTCTTTTGAGTTACTAGGCTCACAGCATTATCAATTTGGTGACAGGTGACAAGAGCTAGTGTGCCTTAGTGTGCTATCATCATAGCTTAACTACTGGTCTAGTTATACCCAAGGCTATCCACACAGTACAGCTGATAAACCAATCAATAGCCATTACATTCCCAGTTCCAGTACAACCAGCTCTGGACAGGTCCTCTCCTCCCTGCTCCTTGTTGCGATGTGGATAAAACATGCCACCCTTTCTTAGAGCTATGACAGCAGCAGCAGTGTCCCAACAGCAGGGGATAATCAATCAAAACCGCTGTCTGAGATTTACAGAACAAAACCCATTAGTCTGTGTTCAAAATATAAATCCATATCATGGTGAGCCCTGTTGCCTGTGCAACTGTCCTTTAGTTTTCAAAAGAATATTAGTCATCCAGTAACAAAATCATGCTGCTTGGAAAGGTGACTGGCCTATTGGTATCTATAAAAACAAATTACAGCATTGGCCCTATTATAAGACAACTCTGGCTATAAGTGAGTTATTCTCTTCTCTAGAGACTGATGCCAAGAGCTGTGCAACATGTTGTCCAGTGACGCATGGACAGTCCAATTTTGGCACATCATCCATTTACACCAGCCAAGCCTGGCTTTGAAGTCAGCTGTGGATATGTTCTGCTATTTGGCAATTTCTGAAGCTTTCAGGTGGATAACAGCTATGGTAATAGGCATTCTTTAATTCTGTTTTTCAGTCATGTGTTGTTCTCACACACTTCCCTGTCAAGCTCTTTGAAGTGACCAGTTTGGGATCTAGAGTTTTCTATAATGATTAGATAAGACTTTCTCATTGTATTTTTACATGGTATTTCTATGCCTCTTGATTTTTGTTTTATTCCATCTGCTTCACAGATCATCAAGTGTGAATGCAATGACTTGTTTGGATTTACATATATCTATACACATTTTTATTCTCTTATGACTTCACAAATATTGGTTAAACTTTTATGGATTTGCCAAACTGTTTTTGTCCCTTCTGGGTTACTTTAAAAACATTCAACATGGCAGACTCCATAGACGGTGACCCTGTCTGTAGATTTAAAAGACTCATTCTTAGGTAACAAAAAACAAAATATCTACTACTGAAAACATACCTATAAATATTATTATCCATTTCTGACAACAGAGTCTCCCAAATATCACACACTGGACCTTTAAAGGAAGTCCTTGAATGAGGTTGTAATGCATTATAGTGGTAGGAGGCATATTTTACCTTCCATCTGTCTGTGCATTTGTTTGCCTCTGTGTAGCTGTGGCAGAGCTCCCAAGTTCCGTGTTAAAAGTGGGCATGACCACCCACTGCTCTGCTAAGAGAGACTTCATCAGCAAGTTAATGAAGAGCACTAATCTGCAGAGAACAGACTCATTGTCTCTATCATCACTCAGATATGATGGAACTGCTGCAAGTCTTACTAATGAGATAAGATGCATTTATACAGCCCCCTGCATAGTGAAGGTATGCTTAAGAATGCAGATACAAATGCTTCATACATACAGTAACTACTGAAAACTAAATGATTATAGGGAACCATATAAAAAGTGAACTATGAATGTGTAGCACAGTGTTACTATTTGACAGTGTTCTAAGTAAAGGATTACAAATATGAAAAAGAAACTACAGACAAAAGCTGGAAAAGTTACATTCTTTTCACATACTCCAATTAGTTCTCTACCACTAAAGAAAATTTAAGTCTGATTGCATGATGTCATGCCTGTTTGATCTTGGTTCAGATCCTCCTCCTCTTGCCTGGAGACATGCAAGTGTGTGCCAACCAAACAAGGCCTGGTCATGTACAAACTGCCATGGCCACAGCCACTAACAGGAGAATAAATCAGTGAATCTTTAATGAACCATATCATCCCTCTCCCCTGCAGCTATGAGAGCCTCTTCTGTGGTACATTTTGTGGCGTGACTATGGCTTATTAACTGTATTAGCCCGGGAACGCTTATGGCTGCTACTTCCAAAGGAGCTATTCATTTGTAGCTAGCTCATTAAAGTATTAATCTCTAAAAGACCCACAGTGGCACATCAGACCACTATTTCTCCATTAGAAAGAGAGAGGAGACTCTAAATGTCTGCGCATCAAAAGGTGGAACAGTACTTTATTTGTCTGTCTGTGAGTTTAGGAGTTTAGTTTAGGAGGCTTGTCTGAGTCTCTGGCAGGGTAGGGGCAGACTTTTCTCCTCTGTCCTTTTCTGCAGATTTGAAAGAAAGCCTGTTAATAAGAAGATGAGGAGAAGAGATGTTATTTTTTCTGATATTGAAAGTGCAGGAGAATATACAATAGAAGTTTAGTTTTTATGAAATCTTGAAGGAGTTTAGGATGGAATGTGGGAGATTTAAACCCAAAAACGTTCCCACTGCTACACCTTTTGAATCTGACTGCAGTATAGTGTTGTTTGTTTTGCTGTTGAGGCAATCTGCCTGACAAAGGTGTGAGAAGTGATAAAAACAAAAAGGAGGAGAAAGCAGGTTATCCATCTCAGAGGAGGAGAAGTAAATGCATGGATAAACACTTCCTGTGATTGAGCCAGAGGGATGTGCTGTGCAAACGTGTGAATTGTACAGCCATGAAAGTACAATTCTCTTTTGGTAACAAACACCATCTGTCTGGAACACTGGTGAGCTCATCAAGAAAGTGAAGACACCCCCGGCATTGCTCACACACTCTGCACTTCGGTGGCTAAACCTGTCTATTAGCATGAAGCCATTGGCAATGATTGTTTTGCTTATCCTGTCAAAGAACATAATTATCTAAATTTGACAAGATGGAAAGATTTAAGAGTGGAGCAGTGTCCTTCTGTTATTCTTGGACAGAAGGACAAATATATTAACTTTTTTTGTCTCTCCTTGCATACCCTCATACAGAAGGAAACAGCTGGCTGTGTGTGTGCATGTGTGTTATCAGTGTGTAAACCTGGCCCAAGGGAGGTAAACTCTGAACACTATTTCAAATCCACAGCTGCTAATTTTGTGAAACATTCTTTTCCTAAGAAAATGGAGTATAGAATACGTTGTGAATTTGACTCTACACAGGCACACACACATTCAAAGACATGGAGAGCTGGGTCTGTATGGCACGAGAAGGCTCCAATCAGCAGATTTTGAATTTAAGGCTGAAGGACACCAGAGCAAAATCTGTACTCCCCATCTATCAATGTCCAGTGTAATATGCAGTTTAGATTTTGTGTAGCTGTGTAAGGCACTTCTGTTCTGTATTTCGTTTCTACCACTTGAATGTTCAAAAGACTGTATGGTATCGTATAGATACTGACCTTGATCCTGGCCTTGATACAGTGATTCAGCTTTGAGGTATCAGCCTCATAGTGTTCTTTGGTTGCTGGTGTGTTTGTACCTGAATGTCAAAGACATAGAGAGAACTCTCCAAAGCCTCTAAGGCCATAAAGGTGTGCGGCAGCTGTTCGCCGTGGCAGGAAAAGCACATTCCTAAAATGAACGGCTGCCTGGGCAGGATATGGCCAACATGCACCAGCGTTAGCAGGATTACACTGGATCGGCCCCAAGTCCACTACAGCCTGCTGTTGCCCTGGATCCAGCACACACCTGTCTTTCATGTTTAAAAAACTTGCAAGATGGAAAAAAGTGTGGTTATTAAGTGCGAAGTGCTGTATGTCGGGGTCTGAGAGCGGTCCCAAGGTCAGAGGTAGTAGTTAAGAGTTAAAACAATGGAGGGGTAATACCATAGAGCTATATGATGTAATGTTACAGGACAAGAGATAACAGAGGCATGGAAGTAGCGGTAACATTAAAATAAAATGTCGAGGCCTGAAGTTCAGTAAAG